TAAAAATGTAATACATATTCGAGATAAAGTAAAAAGTTAAAATATTCTGGGTTCATGTTTATTTCTATTTCCTCATTCTTCACAATACTTATAAATATAGAAACACATATAAACAAAAGTAAGACCTAACATATCTTTTTATTTATGCTAATCTGTATAAAGAATGTATGATTACTTAGCAGACTTACATATTTGGATGGGTTCCTAGGATTAGCGCAGTCTATACCGCCCAATTCAATCTATTCCCCTTATTTATCATGTCTGATGGAGCTTTGGTTAAAATGGAGGTTGATTTCTCGGCTAGTGCCGACGAATTGATACCAATCGCCAGATCACTCGCTGAAGTAAATTTTAACTTCCTCCGTTATTATCGTCTAGGCAGGAAGAGTCGAAGAGGCTATTGAGAAATGTGTGGTGCTTGAAGCACAGACGCGAATTGTAACTAACTTATTTTCTAATTTTGTTAGGCTTGTGACGCGATAACTACTAGTCGTCTTCTTGAAACCATAATTGTTATATTGGCTGAGGCGAAAAGGTGGAAGAAGTTAAACGAATATCTCTTGTCTATGACTAAGAAAAGAGGACAGCTTAAACAGGTCTCTTCTGCCTAATTTCATCTTTTTAGGCTGTGACTAAGATGACGCAAAAGGCAATTGAATATTTGGAGCAAACACCTGATAAGTCATCTAAACTTGAACTCTTGGGTGCTCTTCGAACTGTAACTGAAGGAAAGGTTTGCTACTTGTTTATCATAATGGCCTAAAGATCTATGTAGAAGTTGAAAGAGCACGCCTCACTCGTGAGTTAGCCCGAATAAAAGAAGAAGATGGTGATATAGAGGAAGCAGCCTCTGTGCTACAGGAGCTACAAGTACATTTTTTGTTGCTACTACTTCTAGATCGAAACTTTTGGTTCTATGGAAAAAAAGGAAAAAGTTGAATTTATTTTGGAGCAAATGCGCCTCTGTTTAGCCAGAAAGGATTACACTAGGGTCCAAATAATTAGCAAGAAGGTGTCGACAAAGTTTTTCCAAGAACCGGGAACAGAGGAACTTAAGCTAAAATTTTACAACCTCATGATTCAAGTTGATTCTCTTGAGCATTCGTATCTATCTATTAGTAAGCACTACTGGGAAGTATTCAATACAAAATCTGTAGAAGCTGACGAGAAGCAGAAATTAAATGTAAACATTTTTAAAATTATTCCTAGGCCCTAAAAAATGTTATTGCTTATCTTCTCCTTGCTCCGTTTGACAACGAGCAAAACGATCTGATGCATCGTCGAAAGTCTTTTAGAATGTTGGAAAGCATACCTCAATACTCGTAAGTCCACAAAATATATCTACCATATCTGTTCGTTGCTATTTGCAAAGTCAAGTTTCGTTAATTCTATTTGAATATCTTTCAGATCTATGCTCGGCAAGTTTTTAAGCAAGGAGCTTATGCGGTGGGATGAATTCCTTATTAAATTCAAGGATGTTCTTACTTCGGACATCGTTTTATTCTCTGACAAAGATGGGCCTGATAAAGCACAGAAGCATTGGGATGATCTTCATTCTCGCGTTATTGAGCATAACATTCGAGTTATAGCTGAATACTACACGCAGATTCGACTAAAGCGCTTGGCTGAGCTGCTTGATCTCAGTGTGGAGGTAATTCTGTTATCATTCAATTTGCCCCTGCATTTATGTAGTTAGATATGCTGCCGAATTTAAAGCGTTTTATCTTGTGCTTTCATTGGATTCAGTAGCATCGCACTTATTTGGCTTAATTGCTTTGTTTATAGAGCTTAACTGGCTTTCGGATTTAAAGAAATAGGAATGACCTCATATTAGCAACTTGGTCTTATTGTCAAGGGGACTTAGTCATCAATCTCCCTAACCTTGCGTTTCCTCATGCTTTCATCGTATGAGGCCCTTCTTTGAATTGCCTTTAGTTGAACTCATGTCGTCTATGGCATGTTCTCCGCTAATTCTTATCTTTTGGTATCCATTTTCCTGCAAAGCCATTGACGTTTCTTGATTCGTATGCTTATCCTTCTCTCTGTATCGCCAATATATATATGTTTGCAGGCGTCTCATACTGTGCAGTA